AGATTTGTTGTAATAAACTAGTTCTCGGTCCATCCGGTCGGACTGTGTCCAACCCAGTTTAATTTATAATCAATGGATAAATTATTATTAATGTTATTTATATATTTAATTTAGAGTACAATCGCAATATAATTTTTTTGTGCATCGCACCGGCCGCACTAGTTAGGATTTTATTGGAACCAATTTATCACTATCAGCAATGTCGACTATCATGGTCCATTGACCGTAAACGTGTGTGCTTACGCTTGCAAGTGGGCTTCAGTCTTACATTACAACGTTTGAGCCTTATTTTGGCCTTGTTTACATTTTCACACTTCATATTTTACTCACATTTATTTCTTGTTTTGTTAATAGTTTATGGCTTTTATTGAAGTATCCTTGTAATTTGTATTTTGATTATTCAAACATCATACTCGAATTTTGATAATTCAAAGAGAATTTGTAACGTACACAAGAGAATATATTAGTTTTTTTTTTTTTTTAATCATATTGTTTGAGGGAACAATTCAATTTATCAATGACTGCAGTACAATTATCGAGTTTCTTGTATTTGAATTAGCACATTATTGTACTGATATATATGTTCATTATGCGTTGATCTGACGATAAAAAAGTACAATAATCAGCGTTGAACTTACCATTGTTTGAGTTCATTTTTTTGCTTCTTGATATAAAAATCAAATGGTCGTAACTGATAAATATTAATTTCGTTTCGAAAATTTAGTATAACTGATCGACCCGATCTAATAAGTCATTCCAACACCAAAATGAACCTAGAAAGTTACTTGTACAACTTTGCAAAGCACTATAAATGTTAAAAAAAATTTCTACACTTAATATTTTTTAAAATGTATATTTTCATCACACCAATAAAAAGTGTGCAAGTAGAGTAGGACCAAAAGTGGACTTGTCGTGGCCAATGCATATGTCATCGGTGACGTCATTGTCTCCTCCATCATCATCACTGAAAAAAAAAATTATTATTCAGTGGAGAAAATTTTGGGTGTGATAGTGAAATGCAGATGATAACAATTAATGGAAGACAACTTTGAATTTGTGAAATAGATAAGGAGTAACGACGAATACGGCGTCGTATTTAATCAAATTTGTGGCCAATATGAAATTAAAATATAGGGAGATTCTACGGTCTCGTTACGGAACTATTCCGTCGGGGTTCGGAACCGTTAGATCAACTATCCACGATGATTACATGATGATCTAACGGTTACAAATCTCAACGGAATGATTCTGTAACGGGACTGTAGCATTTCCCTAAAATATATATAGAGATATATGATTTTATAATGCCTCATATGAACTCTTGTCTTTAAAAGATGGCCAAAAAAAAAAAAAAGAAAAAAAAAAAGAAAGAAAAAAATGCGGGATAGGCATTGAACTGAATTTCTGCACATTCATAGTGCGGTTGGGGCATTTTGGTACTGTTATATATAATATTGCTACGGTTATATTTAAATTTTGGATATTGATATGTTTAATTTGAATTGGGTTAGTGTGAGATATATACATAAATATTTTATTTAACTAAAGTTTGTCACTTTTAAAAAGTGCAACATTTTATCATAACATTATCATAGTTAAGGGAGTGAGTTGAGACGAAATCAAGCTCGAGCTTTTATCAAGTCGAATTTAGGTTAACTCGTTAACTAAATGAGTTGACAAACAAGATCTAGTCGAATTTAGGTTAACTCGTTAACTAAATGAGTTGACAAACAAGATCTAGCGTTGATTAACTGCTCGAGTAGAGTTGGGCTTATGACGAACTCGTTTCGATCAATGACTTTAATTCCACCAAATTAGTTATCTATTTCTCATACAAATTGCAATTTTAGTGGAATCTGTGCCACGTAAATGCCATGCAAGTTATATACAAATTGCAATTTTATTGAAATAATTTCTTTATAATATAAATATTTGCTGCTAATCGAATTATACTATTTACAATTTTTTTGTGTTTTGAAATTTATAATTTACATTTATAAATTAGCATTTTCTAAAAATCGGCCTAAGCGGCCGCCTAGGCGCTAGGTGGTGTTCGGGTGCCTCCGATTCGCACAAATCGGCAAAAAAAATCAGTCAGGCGGCTAGGCGGCGCCTAAGCAAGCCTAGGCGCTCCTAGGCGGACTTGGCGGGCTCGGCGGCCAGGCGTTTAGGCGGCGTCTAGGCGGGCATAGGTGCTCCTAGGCGGGCTCGACGGCAATTTTTCAACTTTTTTAATACTAATTACATTATTTTGTTCTCATATTTTTTTTAAAAAAAATATATTAATTTTATTATATTTGGACTTAGGTGTGTCTATTTATTATAAGTGAAGATAATTTTATTTTGTAGTTAGTTAAAATAAATAAAAGATAAGATATTTAATATTGATTTCTAGGCCCTGCCTAAGTCCCGTTGGTCCAGCACTTAGCGGGCGCCTAACGATTTTTGTAACACTGATAAATTGCAATACCTTGTTACTTTTTTCTTTTGGAAAATTTATCTTTTTTTTTTTTTAATATAATCAAGTTTTCTGTTATCATTTGATATTTTGAATCTAAATATAACAATTTATGTAAATAACTATTCCGTACACGAATGAGACAGTACACGTTCAATTATTTGTTTAAAAGGTCCAACCAACATGAGAGTGCACAAACAATTATTATATCAAAAAATATAATGCACCCATAGCATTTTGGTTCATGTATTTGTGGCTTTGTGCACAAAGTTCTCACCAATGAGACTGTAAATTATTATGTAGAATTTATTTTTTATTTATTTATTTTTTTTGTTCACACAATATGTTCCGTATGTAAACAAGTTATCTATAATGATATTAAAAAATATAATAAAAATACTTATTTTTATAAAGTACCTGCACTGTCTAATCCAGCTTGACACATAACTGTTTTGTTGTATAGATTAGGCCGACTCTTGATATTTTGCATATATATAGTAATTCCCATAGCTTGAGGCCAGGTAAGGAAGTTGCTAATAGATTATATTACTAAAGTGTGCTTTGAGATGTCAGATCACACGCACAGACATACAAATGTATAGTGATCTAACTATTCAAATCCTACCAAAAATTTGAGATCACACACATAGACGTACAAGTGTGTAACGACTCAAACTCCATAAAAATATGAGCAGTTAGATTTTCACGCACAGACAAACAAGTATGTGTTGATCATCTTACGGCTCGATCCTATGCATCGAAGTCCGATCACAATCACATACGTACAACTGTGTGTTTACTTGACTAATTAGTAATCAAATCCCAACGAAAATTTGAGCACTCAGATCACACACATACATGTGTGTTTTGATCGAACAACTCAAACTCCATAAAAAATTTGAGCAGTCAGATTCTACGCACAGACGTACGAGTATGTGTTGACCATCTAATTGCTCGAACCCATGCATCGGAGTCAGATCACTGACACAAACGTACAAGGGTGTCTTGTTCTAACTAATTAGATTTTATCGAAAATTTGAACAATCAGATCACACGCACAGACGTACAAATGCGTTTTGATCTAACTACTCAGACCATACCGAAAATTTGAGCAGTCATATTCACACAGACAAACTTACAAGTGTATGTTTTATCTAACGACTTTGAGCTACCAGGAGATTCAATGCGCAAGACGTACAAGTGCGTGTAGGGGTTGATCATCTTATAGCTCGAACCCATTCACTAGAGTCAAATCACAAGCACACACGTACAAATGTACAAAGGTCGGACTGTATCAAAAATTTGAATAATCAGATCACACGCACAGACTTACAAGTGTACGTATTTAATATAGCGGCTCACTCCATAAAATTTTGAACAGTTTAGGCTCATACGTAGAGACATATAAGCATGTGATAAATGTTGATCAACGGTTCATGATCGAAATTCATTTGCCAATCAAATGATGTGAAATTCTGGACTCAAAAAAAAAAAAAAAAATTGATTTATTGATTTTGGCACATGATACTAAGAAAATTAATTGATGTTTGTCAAGTATATTTTAGGTTATCCAAATTGCAAACCATTCTATTTGGTGTAGTATAGCCAAAAAAAATTAAGGAACCATGTTAAGTGTAATTATATAAATAAAATGCTTAATTGTTAAATTATTATGTAACCGTCGTGAATAGTTAATTTAACGGTTATAAACCCCGACAGATGGTTCTGTAACGGGACCGCAGAATCTACCGTATACTTATATTAATTCACACAAAAATTTATGTTACGTTAGAGGATTTTATCTGCCCACATAAAATTATGTCATTATTCATATTTTGAATTTAGTGTGACAAAAAATCAAGCCACACAATATCTGTTCTCAAGAAAAAATAATATACCGACTGAACTTAGGACACCACCCAAGATCGTGCTTTTACTGTTACTATTGAAAAAAAAAAAGGAACAAAAAGATAAGATACTTAACTTATTTTAATTTTAATCTCAAGCCGTTTTTACTAACCACATTTTCCCTCCAAAAAATGACGACAAACAGGCAAATTCAAAGAGTGGCAAATTGTATTTTCTCAAACTTTTGAATCTTGATTCTATTAGTTGCACTTGCAACTTTGAATAACACGAGGATCTTGACTGTTAGGCGGTCGATTTATCATACTAAAAGAAAATACAGACATATATTTATGGATAATATTACAGTCTCCTTACAAAACTATTCTGCCGAGATTTAAAACCGTTAGATCATCATGTAACCGTCGTGAATAGTTGATCTAACGATTACAAATCCCGACGAAATGATTCCGTAACGAAACCGTAGAATCTCCCTATATTTATATTGTCTTTAAAATTATCAAACATATAATTTCTCGAAAAGTATAATTGTCTAACATTTAGATCGGTCTAACAACAACAAAACAGTATTCACTTTTTCTCTATAAATACCTCTATCATCTCAATTATGCACAAGTACCATAAGAATTGAACTCCATTCACTCACCAAAACACAAGATTTTTCCTTGTTGTGACCATGGAGAAGAAGAATGGGGTTAAGGCTCTAGCCAAGAAAGAACCAAACTACAGAGGAATCAAAGCCATGCCCTTTGTTATAGGTAAGATTTGTACTTTTTGTAGTAATCCCACTTTCTCTTCTCTGTTCTCTCTCTCTCTCTCTGTTTTTTTTTTTTCCAGACAAAGATAATTACTTTTTGCTTCTTCACTTTGTTGGTTTATTTTTTTTCAGGTAATGAGACATTTGAGAAGCTTGGAACTATTGGGACATCAACAAATCTGTTAGTGTACCTAACCACAGTGTTCAACATGAAGTCTATTACAGCCACTAATGTAATAAACATCTTCAATGGCACTTGCAATTTCGGAACTTTGATCGGCGGTTTCCTCTCCGACACCTATCTCGGCCGATACAAAACCCTCGGAATCGCTTCCATTTGCTCTTTCTTGGTACTAAAACAGAACTTTCCCTACAAAA